AATAATTATTATTATTATTCTTTGTCTGCCTGGACCACGTTTGCCTTCAATCTTTCCTTGGAGGATTAAGTGAAGTATGGTGTATTTTTCCGGGTGTTGCATCACAATATTAGAATATCCAAAATATTCTAATTTTTGCTTTCACACACACACACACACACACACACACACACACGTCTCTATCTATCACCCTATCAATATCTATCATCCATCTATCTTTACAATATATAGAATATATATATAAATATCTATAGAAATCTTTATCTCTCCCTCTCCATATCTATATTATATTCTCTTCTTTCCATCCATTCACCTAGTTTTTTTTTCTTTTTCTTGTTTTTGTAGTTTATATATTTTTTTTCTTCCCAATCTTTTTTCTCCCTTTTAATTCTATTGTTTTGGTAATCTTCCCCAGGTTTTTTTTCCCAGCCTTTCCACACTATTCCCACCTTTACTGTTTACTTTGGGGGGGGGGGGCATTTCCCCCTTGTCTCCTTTTAATGTGTCACTGTAAATCACAGTAAAATCATGAAGATGATCAGATCTTATTGGACATAAGCAGACAATTCAACCGTGCCATCCTTCTCAGGTTTGGCTGCTTCGGCTTCAGCGCAGTCGTACGATATGAGAAGAGTCGAAATCACGCCGCTGGAACAACGAAAACTCACTTTCGACACCCATCGGCTGGTGCGAGATCTGGAAGCCCACGGTGAGCAAATATCTCCAGCGAAAAGTGTCTGAGAAAGTTTTCCTCCGTGCAATAGCAATAGCTCTTAGACTTACGCAATAAGTCCTCGACTTACAACCACAACAATTGAGCGCAAAATTTCTATGGTTAACCAAGAGCTGTGTTGAGTTTTGCCTCGTTTTATTACCTTTCTTGCTACGTCTGTTAAGGGAATCACGGCAGTAAGTCCGTCGTTAAAGTGAATCTGGCTTCCACAATTCCACAAACTCAAGGATGTGGTTGGATCCGGCCTACAGGGCCCAAACTCAAGGATGTGGTCGGATCCGGCCCACAGGGCCCAGACTCAAGAATGTGATTGAATCTGATCCACAGGGCCCAATCAAGGATATGGTTGGATTCAGGCCTCAGGGCCATCCTCAAAAATGTAAGGGGCCAGCCCGTGTCCCTTCGGCCCAGTGTGAAGAGGAAACATGCCAGCAGTTTGGGGAGTGGCATCAAGCTGGCCATGCCCACCCAGTCGGCCACGCCCACCCGGCCGCCAAGATCAACCACAGCCCTGACGCGGCCCTCAATGAAATTGAGTTTGACACCCCTGCAGTAGATTATGGTGTATTTTATATACTCAACAGGGTTTGCCAAAGAACAGGCTGAAACGGTGGTCTCAGCGTTGATGAATTTGTCAGCGGTCAGCCTGGATACCGTCTACAAGGATATGGTAACGCAAGGCCAACAGGTAAATGGTTATTCCTTGCACGCATCCCTTTTTATGGCCATTCATACAGGTAATACACCACCTACAGCCACCATGGGAGCCAGAATTTCTGTCGTTAAACAAGGCGGTGGTTCAATGAGTCACCCTTGATTTTACCACTATCCTAACTATGGTTGTTAAGCGAATCGCCACTGTTTGTTGAATGAATCACTTGGCTGTTAAGCGAATCTGGCTTCCTCCATTGATTTTGCTTGGTGGGAATCCGGCAGGGAAGGTCGGGAATGATGGGATCATGTGACACCCCCTCCCCAGGACCCCGCATCCATCGTAAATGCAACCATTGTGATGGTGGGGAGTCTGCAACCGTTGTAAAGGGCAAGGATTTGCACTAAGATTGTTGTATTTTCAAACGGCCACTAAACAAATTATGGTTAAGTCAAGGACTACGCGTAATCTTGACGTAATCTTCCCCATTGTCTTCATAATTCTCTTCTGACCTAGACTTCACCGAATCACGAAGCAGAATCCTTATCCCGAAAAAAGACCCTTTTTATTTGGCTAATGTGAATGCCTCTCATTCACCTCCAGCGAAGTCCCGGCAAACAGTCTTTCGAGTGTGAATTTACAACCACAGACCTTATCAGGCTTGGAGAGCTGCCAGGCCGAGATCTTCCCAACTCTGTACAGGAAAATAATTTGCAAGGAATCTCTGAGAGTCAGGAACAAATCTTCACACTAATTAAATGAACAAATTGTCTCCTGCAAACTCCATTCCCCTTTATTTCCTCTGGGAGGGGCCATTCACCGTCCACCTGTGGCTTTACTCCCAAGTCGGCCCTTGTTCCTTAGCTGTTCCCTTCGTCTGGCAACTCTGCACATGTGCACACTGGGAACAGGCTCCAGTTGTTCTTCTGCCCCACTGATCTCCAACTCCGAAGGCAGCCGATAACTATTGGATGGCCCTGGCCCCATCTGCCTCCGACGCAGAGCCCTCATCAGAGCCTTCCCCAGACTCCAGGACTGGCCCATGTTCCTCCCCAACCTCCTCACTGTCTGAGTCTGCCACCAGCTCCGCTTGCCGCTAAATTCTTTAGGCAATGCATATCTTAAGCACAGCCTTGTTAGAAACCAGTTGCATGTTGCAGGGATATTTGGAACTTTTAGATTTTCTGCTGTTTTACCAGGAATTTAGGGTTGATAATATGGGGGTCACCTGGCCGAGGGAGCCAGCATTGTCCGAAGACCCTTCTGTGGTCATATGACCAGCCATGGCTGTATACCAAGACGCACAGAACATATTGAAAGGAGACCTATTTATCTACTTACATTTGAGGCCCACTGAAATGGTACTTGTTTATCTACTTACATCTGCTAGGAGGGCAGGAGCTGGAGCAAGGAACGGGAGCTCACCCCGTTCTGCAGTGCTCGGGTGTCAAATCTGGGCTGTCAGTTAGCTCAAAGCGGACTTGAACCTTGGTCTTTCCATTCCAAACAGAACATCTGAATTGTTACACTTCTTGGTGGTGGGATGGCCTTGTAAAATTATTGCCTGCAATGAAACCCTTAGAAGTGTGCAAAACATTTTGAGATCTAATTGTCCTGACATTAAACATTGTGCCTTAAAAAGAGTGTGCATGCACGTATGTGTGTATGTTTGCATATGATGTACAAATACAGTGTATGAAATTTGCCGCTGCTTCTCCAAAATGTTCAATGTAATATGTTGTCATTACACAGAACATTTTTCTGACATGTTCCCATCTCATGGACTAAATGTCCTGCCAGAAAACGACGAATATTTAAGATGCCTTTCAACATTTTGTGTGTATATATGTATATTTTATCTTTTATGTTTTAGGAGATAACTTTGCAACAGATAATGTTTCATCTGGATTCCATTCGCAAGGATATGGTCATTCTTGAGAAGAGCGAATTTGCCAATTTGAGAGCAGAAAACGAGGTATTATCCCTGTCAGAGCGTGCACAGTGTGACTACTATTTTGAGAGAGAGAGAGAGGAAGAGAGAGAGAGAGAGAAATCGCCCTCACTTGGCCTCCCTTATATAGACAGCTTCTTAAAGTGGCAGTAGCCCTGCTGACTCATTCTCATTTCATCATCTCAATTTACAGCCTTACAGCAGCTGGTCAGCTATTAAATCATCATTACCTTAACACCCCCACTTCCACCCCAAAAATGCCCTGAGCCGTATCTGTTTAGTTTGTGAAGATTTTCTGCAAAATTGACAATTTTCAGGTTTTATATCTTAGGTGCGATGTTTCAAATTCAGTCCCAAACAGGAGTTTGTAAGGGCGTGAATGGGAGATGGCTGGTTGCAGCCCTTTAAAGGAGCTTCATCATGGCTCAGATACATCAATGAAAGTTGCAGGTTGTGAAAGTTAACATGCCTATTTTGCATGTTGCAGCTCCTTTATGCCTTCCGCTGTTTCTTTGCTTTTTTCCTCTCTTCCTTCAGAAAATGAAAATTGAATTGGATCAAGTTAAACAGCAACTAATGGTAAGTCAACCAGGGATAGTCAAGCTGTTCAGTTTTAGGACAGAGTTAAACCTCCTTTTAAAAATAAGTAGCCGATAACCTGGCATTTCCCAGGCATTTATTTATAGGGGGGAAATGTCCGGACAAATGTAATTTGAAAATTCAGGGGGGAAAAAAAGAACATTCCGTTTTCTCCTTCCTAAAATTGAGAGGGGTGTATTTTTCTTTAAAGAATGAAACTAACCAGATCAGAGCTGAAAACAAGCTGGACATCAACTTGGAGAGAAGCAGAGTAACCGATATGGTGAGTAAGTTCTGTGTTGGGTTTTTTTTTTCTTATCTAAAAGAAGTCCTTGTCTTACAACCAGAATATTGCCCCACATTTCTATTACTGAACAAGGCAAAACTGTTAAGTGAGCTTCGTCTCCGTTTTGCTATCTTTTTTTTTTTGCCACAGTTGTTAAGTGAATCATTTGGTCACTAAGTGACTCACGTGGTCATTAAGGGAATCTGGTTCACCCCATGGACTTCGCTTGTCAGAAACCAGCTTTTCAGTGCTGTTGTATCTTGGAACAGTCATTAAATCAACAGTTGTAAATCAAGGAGGACCTGTTAGTTGAGCTGATTATGTATTTCTGGTTTTTTTTAATTATTTTTGTTATTTTTTTTTCTAATTCTCCAGTTCACAGATCAAGAAAGAAAGCTGATGGAAAACTCCACAGAATTTCATAAAAAAGTAAGTGTTTGAATCATTTTTATTCTAGGCCTAGTCAATAACCCGGCATTGCCCCGGTATTGATTTATAGAGCGGAAATTTCCAAACCAAATGTCATTTCTAATGTTGGATTTTCCCCCCTTACCAGAGGGAGCCCCCTTGTGGAGAACTGTGAAGCCTGCAAGAGCCACTTCTCCCTGAGCCCTGATTTCGGCAACATTTAAATTAGTTAAAAATGTTTTGCCTCTGCCCCCAGAAGCCTAATTTCTAATGTTGGATTTCCCCCCTTACCAGAGGGAGCCCCCTTGTGCAGTTACCACGGTAACTCCACTGCGCTGTACAGTAGAAGCCATTTTACGGAAGTACAGTAGAAGCCATTTTAAGGCACAACAGGAGGTATCTTAACAGAATACCACCACCCCCGAGAGTGTTAGGGGTCTTTTCCCCCCGCGCCGCCACAGTATTTGTTTCTAGAGAGTAAGCCATCTGTGTACCAAGTTTGGTTGAAATTGCTTGAGGCGTTCCAGAGTTACACTGGAACATACACACACACACAGCCATTTTTATTTTTATTCCAGAATCTAGATTCTAGGTCAGTGTTTCTCTCTTTTTTTTTTTAGTTTCTTTTGTTGTTGTTGTTGTTGTTGTAAATGTGTTTTTATTTTCCATTTCATTTTCGTACAGTCACATATATACNATTCCAAGTGTGGCCTTACCAAGGCCTTATAAAGTGGTATTAACGCTTCACATGATCTTGATTCTATCCCTCTGTTTATGCAGCCTAGAACTGTGTTTCTTCAAAAACAGTTTAAAGTAAAACTTATTGACTACTGCTAGTCCTTGACATACAACCATTCGTTTAGTGGCCATTCAAAGTTACGATGACACTGAAAAAAAACGACTTCAGATCGTTTTTCACACTGACGATCGTGGCAGCCTCCTCGTGGTCCTGTGATCAAAATTCGTACGCTTGGCAACTGACTCATATTTATGACGGTTGCAACATACCGTGTGTGTGTGTGTGTCACATGATCCTCTTTTGCAACCTTCTGACAAGCAATGGGGAAGCCGGATTCACTTAACAACCGTGATACTAACATAAATTGCGGAGATTCATTGAACAACTGTCTTGCTTAACAACATAAATTTTGGGCTCACTTGTCGTAAGTCAAGCACTACATAGATCAGCAATTTAAAACTGCAGCTTTTCTCCAAAGTTCCAAATTCACCTCTCCAAATTTTCGTGGGGCTGAGCTCTCTAAACAGGAGCTCCCTCTGTTGGGACTCCAACTCCCATTTGCCTAAACATTTTGGCTCAGAATGATGGGGTCTGTCATCCGGGCCTGCCGTGGGAGAGAGTCAGAATAGATGTTCCGTTCTTCTGATCCAAACTGATTCTACAAGTAAGTTCATTGAATTGGTTGACAGAAAAGTAGCTTGTCAATATTTGATTGAAACAAAAGAAGCAGTCTGGAATAGAAAGAGATTCTTGTGGGTTATTTTTATTCGATTATATTAGATTAGATTTACATGCCCATCGTGTCTGGAGGCCACATCTCATTTTAGATATGCTTGAATTGAATTGAATTTATTAAAATTTATAGGCCGCCCAATCCCGAAGGACTTTGGGCGGCTTATACAAAACATCAAAACAGCTTTATCTCATTTACTTCATGTTCTGTTGAGTTTGTTGTTGTTAGTTGCAAAGTTGTGTCCGACCCATTGCGACCCCCATGGACAATGTTCCTCCAGGCCTTCCTGTCCTCTCCCATCCTCTGGAGTCCATTTAAACTCACGCTGACTGCTTCGGTGACTCCATCCAGCCACCTCATTCTCTGTCGTTCCCTTCTTCTTTCGCCTATGTTAAGTTAGTAGTATTAAAAATAAAAGCATTTGGATCGATCATTGCTAGGGGTTATTATATCTGATCTGACAAAGGGAGACATGATAGCAGTCTTCCAATTTTTGAGGGGCTGCCACAGAGATAAGGGGAGGGTCAAACTATTTTCCAAGGCACCTGAAGGCTGGACAAGGAATAATGGATGGAAACTGATCAAGGAGAGATTCAACCTGGAAATAAGGAGAACTTTTCTGACAG